GGACTCAGCTAAATAACAGGAAGAGGCAGGAGAGAGGGAAGGGACTACAGATGCTTGGTGGCATCAGGCATACAGTACTGGTGAAAGAGTAGAAAGGTGAGACTAAAGAGGTGCACTGGGTCAGCCACATGGGGCTCCATATGCCACTGAAGCCATGGTATTGAATGTGTAGCACGGAAATCACATGAGCAGATTTACTTTTTAGAAATATAAAATAGGAAAAGTTGATTTTGGATTTCAAATTCAGTAACATCTAAAGTCTGCCTACATTAGCTTTTTTAAAAATATATTTATTTTGGAGAGAGAGAGCTTGAGAGGGGGAAGGGAAGAGAGACAGGAGGACAGAGGATCCAAAGTGGGCTCTGCGCGACAACAAAGAGCTCGATGTGGGGCTCAAACCCATGAACCGTGAGACCATGCCCTGAGCTGAAGTAAGACACTCGGTCGACTAAGCCACCCTGGCACCCCTCCATTAGGTTTTATTAGCAGTTATATTTTAGGCAGTATTCTGTGGGGAGGAAAAAAAATCATACAACTTAAGAACAACCACAAAATCTGACTAAAACATGGGCAGAGGAAATGAATAGAAGTTTTTCCAAAGACAAACAAATGGCTAACAGGTACATGAAAAGGTTTTTGACATAACTAGTTATCAGAAGTACAAAGCAAAACCACAATGAGATATCTATCACCTCACTTCTGTTAGAATGGTTATCATCAGAAAGACAAGAAGAAAAAACAAATGTTGGGAAGGATATGGAGAAAACTAAACTCTTGTGCACTGTCAGGGGGAATGTAAATTTGTGCAACCACTATGGGACATAGTATGGAGCTTTCTTAAGATATTGAAAATAGAATTATGGTATAATCCAGCAATTCTACTTCTGAGTATATATCAAAAGGAAATAAAAACAGTATATTGAAAAGATGTCTGCACTCTCATGTTTATTGCACCAATATTCGCAATATCCAAGACATAGAAATGACCTAAGTGTCTGTCAATGAATGAATGAAGATGTCACACACACACACACACACAAACACACACACACATATTACTCACTCAGGACAAAGAAGGAAATACTACCATTTGCAATAACATAGATGGACACTGAAGGCATTATGCTAAATGAGATAAGTCAGAGAAAGACAAATACTGTATAATATCTTTTATATGTGGAAACTAAAAAAGCTAACCCTGTAGAATCAGAGAAAAAAATGGTGGTTACCAGGGCCTGAGGGATGGGGGAAATGGGGAGATATTGGCTAAAGGGTACAAATTTCCAGTTAGAAGATAAATAAGTTCTGGGGATCTAATGCACAATGTTGTGACTATAGTTAGGAATATGGCATTACATGCTCGAAAGTTGCTAAGAGAGTAGATCTTAAATGTTCCAACCATAAACAAGAAATGGTAATTATGTGATACATTGGAGGTATTAGCTAAAGCTATGATAGCAACTACATTGCAATGTATAAATGTATTAAGTCAACATCATGTATACCTTAAACAATGTTATATATCAATTATACCTCAATAACTCTGGGAAAATAACTGGGTACTGAGTATGTGTGTGTTTAAACTATCATTTGTTAATTTATTTTGTGCCAGCTATTATAAAAAATGCTTTATATAAGTTATTTCATTGAATCATCACAGCAACCCCACAGACAAAAATTCATAATTATCTCCATTATAGAAATGACAAACCTGGGACTTAATGATGTTTTTAACCTGCCTACATTCAGGTAGCTACTAAGTGGCAAAGCTGGGATTAGTCAGGTCTAACAACTGCTATAACTCATGTTCTTCTCCATCATGCTATGTAGTTTTCACTAGGGAAGGAAGGAAGGAAGGAAGGAAGGAAGGAAGGAAGGAAGGAAGGAAGGAGGGAGGGAGGGAGGGAGGGAGGGGGGAGGGGGGGAGGGAGGGAAGGAGGGAGGGAGGGCAGGCGAAGACAAATAAATAAGTCCTGCATTTGTACCAAGTAATAGACAACAACCAAAATGTACATAAATGTGGAATTGGTCTCTGAATTTTTAATTCCAGATACGTGTACTTTTACCAGTCAATCTAACCCTAACAGGCAATACAATAAAGCATGATTTATAAAATGACTTTACCCCTAGAGCAGTAAGGCAAAGTAAATTTGTTGTGAAATCATCAGGAAAGATCAGTTAATTCACTTGTAATTACTTCTGAGGATATTCTCAGATCTGCCCAGTTAAGATGCAAACACCTACCACCCGCCCTTTGCAATTCTCCTGGGAGTTCCTAATCCAGTAGAGTCATCCCATCCTAGGAACACAGTTGAGTAACTACAGTAATTGAAAGGAGATCTCCCTTTTTATTTTAACTTTGTGGGAGAACTGAATTATTGTTTTGCCTTTTTCCCCAAAGTTTTACCAAAACTTCCTCAGTTCCAGGATAAAAAAAAAAAAAAATGTTCAAACATTTTTTTCACATTGAAATAAAACTGGTACAACTGCATCAGACATATCAAGGCTATTATGTCAAGGTGCCATTTTAAGCTAATGCCATTAACTTTAAGAATTGTTTTGGGGTGCCCGGGTAGCTAAGTTGGTTAAGCATCTGACTTCAGCTCAGGTCATGATCTCACAGTTTGTGAGCTTGAGCCCCACATCAGGCTTTGTGCTGAAAGCTCTTCAGATTCTGTGTCTCCCTCTCTGTCTGCCCCTTTCCTGCTCACCTCTGTCTCTCTCTCAAAAATAAACATTAAAAAAATTTAAAAATATTGTTTTGTTCCCTCTTTGCTAGTCAGTCACCATTGCATTCCTGATGACTGAAGGTCATCAATGATTGCTTATACGAATAAACTTGGACCAGGGTGCCTGAACAGCTTAATCAATTGAGCGGCTCTTGATTTAGGCTCAAGTCATGATCTTGTAGTCATGGAATAGAGCCCCACCTCGGGCTATGTGCTGACAGTGTGCAGCCTGCTTGGGGTTCTCTCTCTCCCTCTCTCTCTGTCCCTCCCCTGCGTGCTCTCTCTCTCTCTCAAAATAAATAAACATTTTTTAAAAAGAATAAATTTAGACCTAGTTTACTATTGATGATTTAATTGCCAAATATTGACTCTGTCACCAATTCCTTTCCAATATAGTACTAGGGAGGATCTGATGGGCTTGTTCAAGGCAGACAATAAAGTTTAACTTATAAATTTCAAAGGAAGAGTATTTATTTAATATTTGGAGTTTCTTTCTTCCTCCCAAGATTGCTGGAAAATACCCACCAGGCATGGCAGGAAAAATAGGTTTATCATTTGTTTTTGTGCTCCGAGCTTACATAAATTAGCACTGCTGATGGTTTTATATATTGAATTGATTGGGTCATTAATAGAATTAAGGTTTTTTTTTTTTTTTTAACAGTACCATAAAATTGATTCCACTAATAATGAGTATGTCTTGTTACAGTGGAAAAGACCTAGTTTTCCTTATATGCTCCTGGCCTGAATTTGGTATATAATTCCATGTATGTACATATCCACAAGAAATACATGCACTTTAAAAAAAATGTGTGATGGGGTGCCTGAGTGTCTCAGTCAGTTGAGCGTCCGACTTGGCTCAGGTCATGATCTCATGGTTCATGGGTTCGAGTCTCATGTCAGGCTCTGTGCTGAATGCTTGCCTATTTTGGATCCTGTGTCTCCTTCTCTCTCTGCCCCTTCTCCGCTCATGCTCTGTCTTACTCTGTCTCTCAAAAATAAATAAATGTAAAAAAAGATTTTTTAAAAATGTGTGCTAACTTTGTGTAATGATCTCATTGCTGCAAATCCATGGGACAGTTCTTGATTCTTGGTTTTCTTGTTTTATCATCAGCATTTGACAGTCAATTCTTCCATCTCCTTGAAATATAGTTTTATTTTTCCCCACTTGTTTTATGAAATGCATCATTCTTTTCTTTTTTCTTCCTTTTTAAAATTCTCCCTCAATGGCCTTTTTTCAATCCCTCTGCTTCTCTGACATCGTAACTCTGGAGTGACTCACAGCTGAATGCTTGGACATTTCCTCTCTTTGCCCTCACTCCCACAGTAATGCCACTCATAATCATGGTTTTAAACATGATCTTTGGCAAGGTTTACCAAATGTGTATCTCCTGGGTTGACCTTTCTTCTCAACTCCCACTGCCACCAGGTGCATCATATGTAGTCATCTCAAATCTCAGGTATCCAGAATTAGTGCCATCTTTTTTTCCCATCCTCCTTCCCCTACAGTCTTCCCCTACTCATTAACAACCATGCCACCTTTCTGACTGCTCATGCTAAGAATCTTGGAGCATTCTTGACTCTTCCCATTCTGTCACAATGTATATGTTACTCAATACATAGAATTTTCTTCATTATAGGGGCACCTGGTGGCTCAGTCAGTTAAGCATCTGGCTTTGGCTCAGGTCATGATCTCATAGCTGTTGAGTTTGAGCCTCACATCAGGCTCTGTGCTGACAGCTCAGAGCCTGGAGCCCACTTCTAATTCTGTGCTTCCCTCTCTCTGCCCCTCCCCCACTCATGCTCTGTCTCTCTCTGTCTCAAAAATAAATGTTAAAGTTTTTTTCAAAAATTATTTTCCAAAAAATTGTCTTCATTATAAAATATATATTCAGACATAAATGTTGCATCTACATCATGCTCTCCTCTCTTTTTCAAGAACTTTTATTCCACATATATTTAGACTGTCAATCTTTTATCCATGTTTCTTAACCACACACACACATTCTCTCATACCTTTTATTTGTGTAAAATTCTAAGTTAATTCCTCAAATTATGCTAAGTCATAATTTGTCTATACAATCACTTTTTCCACCCTAGAATAGCTTTACTTTTATTTTAAATTATTTCAATGGCTATCAATACCTATTTTTTAAATGTTTATCTCTTCCTTTGTTTTCTCTCTTAATAATTTTACACATAATTGACATTTTCCATACTCTTGCAGTTATCTCTTAGGGCTATCCAGAACATAGATTTTTAAAATTTTTGTCTCTACAGTTAAAACAACCATGCTCTTTTCCCTGTGAGGATCCAGGGTCCAGCAGCTACAAATAGCAGCCTTCTGGGTAGTTTCTGCAGCCTGTGGCTTATATGGGTTGCCCTAAGGGGCTTCAGAGATAGCCCTTTCTAATAGACATTCATGTCTGACCTCATGCTGCTCCCAATCTAGGTTTCAGACAGGTATGCAAAATGCCTTTGGAAAGTCCCAGAGCACAGTAGCCAGGGTCTGCATTGGCCAAGCCATCATGCCCATCCTCAACAAGCTGAAGAACAAGGAAAATGTGATCGAGGCCTACGTGACTTAGATCGAACATGTTAAAGGCATTTACAGAGGGACATAACAAAACCGTATAGACGCACTGAGGTTAAGGGCATGAGCAACTGTTTTAACTACTCCTTCCAGAATTCTCTAGTTAGGTGGTCTTTCCAGGTGACTTAACCATTCTGCAAAAATTTTAAATGGTGATAAAGATTGTACCTACCTCATATGTTTGTTGTGAGCATTGAAATAATGGCTGTATATCATTTAACAATATTTTACATACAGTATGTGATTAAGGATATTATTTATAAAAATTATTACTAATAATGCCATGCAATAAGTATTTATATGGCAAGCCCAGATTATCTTCTTCTCTGTAACCAATTTGATAAATCTTTCAAATTCTCGTCATTAAAATATTTTCTCCTTACTTATATTTTCAAATAAGCATCCCATCCTTTGAGTTATCATCAAACCCTGATATTTGCTTACACTTATGTCTTGAATTTTGTATTATGTTATTGGTTGTTTTAAAATTCTAAAGATTTAAGGCCATTTTCCTTCTTTAATTATATAATGTTCTTTATAGAGTATGAAGATGATAAAGTTTGTACTGGATATTAGACTCAAAACCTGTAGTTATGTCATAAATAAATACATAAGGGATGGATTCCATTAATTTATATTCTGATAATTCTCTAATTACATGTTACTTTCATATCCATAGCTCTCCATAGCTGAGTCATGATAATCCTTAATGCTGGACTCAATTTTGGACATGGCAAAAAAACAAAAACAAAATAGCTGTCATGTTTCTGATATAAGAATATGTTTGGCTAGAAAGGCTTTTTGTTATATATATATGTACAGATATACATATTTTGAGAGAGAGAACATTTGACAGAGGATCTGAAGTGGCTGTGCTAACAGAAGACAGCCCCACACAGGGCTCAACCTCACCAACCATGAGATCATGACCTGAGATGAAGTCAGATGCTTAACTGACTGAGCCACCCAGGTGCCCTGGTAGAAAGGTTTTAATTGAAAGCCTTTTGTCTAAAACTACTATATAGTTTTATATGGGATATTCTACAATGCATGAGAAGCATAATGCTCCCATGAGGTCCAGCACTCTATAGGATAAAAACTGTATTAAGCTTCCCCACAACCCGCAAAAAAGTTTAAATTGTGGCCTCTGGAATAAGGAAGAAAAACAAGATATTTACAGATAGAAAGCACAGTGCTTTATTACAGATACATCAGGGGAAATATTGAAGATGGGAAGTTTTCCTTTCTTTCAAACATTAGGTAGATGTGTCTTTTTCACAGTCATATATAGAAATAAAATAGAATTTCTACTCTGAGTATCTATGGCCATAATTGGGCCTAATCCACACTGATTCAAAGGCTGGTTCTTATACAATAGCTTGGTATGATTAATATCATTCAGCTCACTAGAGTATCATGCTTTTTGTTACAAAGTAATCTGGATTCTACCTGCCTTAGTGAACAGAAGAAATAGAGCTGTGCTAAGAATCATAGCACTGGTTAGATTATTTCTTATGGATGTATCTGCACAAACCACTATTGAGCCTGGCTAAAGGTGCTGACAACAATTGATGATAACTGTTTTGCGTTTTCTATTAACCTAAAGAAATTCAGGTGGATCAATAGAAATGTTTAAATAAAGTTTGATGCTAAAATCACAACATGCTTTTTATTTAGGGTCAAATGCATCTGCTGCTGCCATTTTCTTAAATACAAGTTTGCTCAGATTTATCTGAAAGTCTGCTCATATACCTTAAATAGCAAGTCTTTTGCCAGTATCCCTTTCTAGTTATTTAAAGCTTAATAATCCTGCTACAGCAATTGCACTCCAAGTGACTGGGCATGCTGTGAGGACAGTGACGGTTGGTGTGATACAGACTTTCTCCTCCAAAAGGAAATTATGGCACTATGAATTTTTTGCATGTGAATGAGTATTTTGATCTTAGAGGAAACATCTGTGTTTAGAGTACAGTCTAAATACTATGGAGGAGACAGCTGCTCATAGAATGATGCTAAAGGATTTCAGGGCAAAGCTGTCTCTCTCCATTTTAGGTTTGGCCTCTAATGGTGTCAGAAATTTCACCAGGAAAGCCAGAACCCTGGTTAAATATTAACTAAGCACTCCTGTAAACCACAGTGGTTTCGGTGGGTACAGAAAAGTATTAACATACAATATTGATGCTCCAGGTCATGTGTCATTAGGGAATTAAAAATCAAAATATCAGTGAGATACCACCATATGCCTACTAGAATGACAAAAATTCCAAACACTGACAACACCAGATGCTTTTGAGGATATGGAACAACAGGAATTCTCATTTACTGCTGGGGAGATTACAAAATGGTACAGCCATTTTGGAAGACAGTTCAGCAGTTTCTCATAAAACTATGTATGCTGTTACCATATGGTCCAGGAATAATGACCTTTTTTATATTCTCAAAGGAGTTCAATACTTATATCCACATATTTACATAGTGATGCTTATGTTTTATTCACAGTTGCCAAAACTTGGAAGTGACCAGGTGTTCTTTGGTAGGTAAATGAATGAATAAACTGTGGTATATCCAGAAAATGGAGTCCTATGCAGCACTAAAAAGAAATAAGCTATCAAGCCTCGGAAAAACAAAAGTGAACTTAGATGCACATCACTAAGTATAAGAAGTCAATGTGAAAAGCCTACCTACATTAGATTCCAACTATACAACATTCTGAAGGAGGAACAACTTTGGAGACAATATAATGTTAACTGTTTGCTAGGGGGTCAAGGGAAAGAGATGAATAGGTAGAGCACAGAGGATTTAAGGGCAATGGAACTATTCTTTATGAGCCCATAATGGTGGATACATGTGATTACACATTTGTCAAAACCCACAGAATATACAATACCATGACTAAATCCTAATGTCAGCTATGGACTTTGGGTAATAATGATGGCCATTGTAGGTCCATCAGTCTTAACAAATGTACCACTTTTTTGTGGGATGTTGACAGTGGAAGAGACTGTGGATCTATGAAGACATAGGATATATAGGAACCTATGTTTTTCACTCATTTTGATGTAATCCTAAAACTACTCTGAAATATTAAATTATTAAACTAAACTAACAAACAAATCTATTTAAACCTATTAAAAACAAAACAATATTTGACCTCACAATATACAATCTATAATAGACTGAAATAATTAGTATATTTAGCATTTAAACCAAGTATATTGGATTTCCCATATAAAATATATGTTTTGATGATAGAATTGCATAAAGAGATGGATATTAATAAAAATACGTAAACAAAACAACTTTATAATAAAACTACCTTAACTTTAATAAAGGGCTTTCTACCATAACAAGCTCTTTGAAAGTTCCCACAGTAGTGGTTTAATAGTTAAGAATTTTATATCTATTGTAATAATCGACTATATAACAGAAATCTCAAATTAAGCTATAAATGTCTTTTTTATTATTTCCTAAAGTAACTCAAAAGTGATAAATAAGCACACTGATAAAGAGAATACTAATAATTTTTCAAATTGGATATTTTCACAAATATATTCATTTTAAATAAGAAAATGTATACAATTGATCATATTTACCTTTAGTCTTTACAAATTTTTCATAAAACTGCTCACTGAAATGCCAATATACTTGTAGAAACACTTTGCTTTACTGCAGATATCATTCATGTTAGCAATCATTTCTCCCACTTTAGTTTATATGGACATTGGAATTTTAAGTGTTTATTTTCATTGTATGACCAGAGAGTTTACTCCTGCTTCTAACAGAGTGGTCCCTTCTAACAACAGAGATTATTTCTTTTGGGTAAGTATTATTTACCTCTTTCTGAATATTTGAAGCATTTGGTTTAAAAATCAAATTACTTTCAAATTTTTCTAGTTATTCTTCATTTTTATCCTAAATACACAGTCAAGTGCCTCACCTTTGGCCTTGAAGAACTCATGCAAAAGCACTCTGTTAGCCCCCCTCACACAGGACTCACCCATTCTGTCCATAAAGAAATGGTTAAATGTAACTTTCTTTCTTTTTCCACTGCATAAACTTCTCTTGCTAAGACATTTGCTTTAATCCCGTTTTTTTGGTAATATCCAGCCACTCCTTTTCATTATTGCTAAATACCTTTATCCAAGAATAACTTTTATTTCCCTTAAACTGCAACCAAAATATCTCAGTTAAGTAACTGAACTTTAAGTGCATTAACACACTGAAATGTATTAACTGAAGACTTGACATATCATAACATAAGTTATGATTATTCCAAATAGTAAAGCCCATGTAACAGTAAGGTCAGATAACTTAAATTAGGTGAATCTCTTAAGCTCAGATAGCAAACAGGAAACAAAGCCAAGATTCGAGTCCAGGTTTTGACCTCCATCAGCTCTCCTCTATCCATGGCTAAGACTTATAAAAACCGTATCTCTGCCTCCAATCCTAAAGTGCATCATAATATAACAACTCAGCTTAGAAAAGATTCCTCCTGTGAAGCAATTATTGCCAGGCTATACAGAGCACTTTCTATAACATAGGTACATCTGAAAGGACATATTGGTGCATGGAATGGTGCCACAATAAAGAAGGTAGGTGAGGAAACTCACTTGCAAACACAAAAACATAAAACAAAAACCTGAAGCAGCTAAGAGATGTCTAGCACTGGACAACTCTCAGAGTTATAACAAACAAGATGGAGTTTTCGCCATCTATGATTTTACAACCTAACTCCTATGTGTATAGAGAATGAGGGAACATTATAACCCTTATATTGACACAAAAATGGGTTCCTTATGTACCAAACTTTAC